CCACACAGGGACTCCCTCCGCCTCAAATGCAGGTAGGTCGAGGACCCACAGCTCACCTTGTCACTCAACAATGGGCTCAAGCAGGTCATATAATAGCTCCCATCTCCGGACAGGCACTGGCTTCTGCCACGCTTAATGCAGTGCCGGTTTTGGCATACGAGAATTTCCCTGGCGGAGTAGGGCCATATGGAGGAACTGACAATAATAAAAAAAAGAAGAAGAATCGGTCAAACAGTCCCTTGGAAGGGGTAATGTTTTACACTTTCCACCAACTCTATGGGCATGACACCAGCGAGTACAGCGACGCTCCTCGACGCCTGGATCGGAGAGACCCACATCCCTCCAGGAGGAGCGAATATCCTCACAGATCCGCCTCCTCGAATAGGGAAGAGAGAAGGCATAGAGAGCAGTCACCCCGGAGAAGAGAATCAAGGGACCGAGGAGAGTCCAGACAGAGAGATCAGGCCCCATTTTTTGGAGGCCAAATCATCAGGGAGATCGACACGATCATTGGGGGACCTCACATCGGTGGCAACACCAGAAACGCCCAAAAGAATTACACAAGGAAAGCAAAGGACCCACCAATGCTTACCTACATTGTCAACGAATCCCAAAAGGCCAATAGGATGGCCCCAATCACCTTTTCCCAGGAGAATGCACAAGGAGTTCACCACCCCCATTATGACGCATTGGTTGTGAGAGCCGTAGTGGCAAGAAACAGGCTCAAATGCATGCTCGTCGACAATGGCAGTTCGGTGAATATACTGTTCGGCTCCACCTTCGATAAGATGCAAATTGAACATGGGTTGATCCCCATGATCGATCTTCTATTTGAATTTACTGGAGACAACATTGTCCCATGAGGGTGAATTACTCTGCCCGTCCAGATGGGTTCAGCTCCTCTAGTGGCCCAACTTCATGAAATTCTTGGTGGTAGATCACAGATCAGCCTACCATGGAGTATTAGGTAGACCCGCCTTGAAAGATCTTTAGGCTGTCACTTCCATCCACTACTTGTGAATGAAATTCCTAACTGAACATGGGATTGCTATGATATGAGGCGACCAGATGGGCTCTAGGGTATGTTACTTAAACTCTCTACGAAAATTGGAGCCTCAAACTATTAACATGATCATAACTGAAGTTGCCAGTAAATCCAATTTGGACGTGAAAATGATCGACGCCCCTGAACAAGGGCATACCTCAGTATATGAAAAAGACGTCGACATGGAAGAGGTCCCTGAAGAAGGGCACCTTCTTGATGAATTAGGTCCCCGGATAATTGACTTCGAGCCAAATGCAAGCACAATGGAAGAACTTAAAACCTTCTTTGCCAACCCAGAGGACCCCAGTCAGGTTCTACGAATATGAAAGACATTGTCCCTCTAAGCAAAAGAAGAAATGGTGAGCTTTCTGAAAAGGAACTTGGATGTCTTCGCTTGGAAGCATGAAGACATGGTGGGAATAGATCCAAGGATCAGTTGCCATCATCTTAACATCAACTCCTTCTGTGTCCCACATAGGCAGAAAAGACGTGCCCTCAACCCAGAATGGTATGAGGCGCTGAAAGACGAAGTATACAAACTTAGCCGCGGCGGCTTCATCAGAGAAGCCATCTATCCGAAGTGGATATCCAACCCGATCCTAATGAAGAAGCCCAGCAAAAAGTGGAGGGTGTTCACAGACTCCACAAACTTAAATAAGGCATGCCCTAAAGACAACTTCTCACTTCCAAGGATAGACAAACTTGTGGATTCCATGGCCGGACATGAACTCTTGAGCTTCATGGATGCATACTCAGGGTATAACCAGATACCTATGTTCCGACCTGATGAGGAGGCTACATCATTCATCACAGACAGAGGACTGTACTGCTACAAAGTCATACCCTTCGGATTGAAAAATGTTGCAGCTACATATCAGAGGCTGGTCAACATGATGTTTGCTGAACTCATTGGCAAAACCATGGAGGTCTACGTGGACGACGTGCTAGTGAAAAGCCTCCAGGCCAATGAACATGTCAGTCACCTCGACCAAACCTTTCAAATACTTAGAAAATATAAAATGAAGTTGAATCCTCTCAAGTGCACCGTTGGAGTGGCTTCAGGTCAGATTTTGGGATATATTGTAAACCAAAGAGGAATCAAAGCGAACCCAGTTAAGATAATGGCCTTGCTTGAAACGAGGTCACCTCAGAAATCAAAGGAGGTCCAAAGCCTCAATAGTCGGATAGCCGCACTCAGTCGCTTCATCTCCAGAGCTACAGATAAGAGCTTACCCTTCTTCAATGTGCTGAAGCAAGGAAAGAAGTTCCAATAGACTTCTGAGTGCGAAGAAGCCTTCCAAGCGCTGAAGAAGTACTTAGGAGAGGCATCCCTGTTGTCAAAACCTCAACCAGAAGAGCCCTACTACTATATTTGGCGATTTTGGACGAAACGGTCAGCACTGTCCTTGTCAGAGCAGAAAATAAGCACCAATTACCTGTATACTATGTCAGCAAAGCACTCCTCCCAGCTGAAACATGCTACCCAGACATGGAGAAATTGGCACTTGCTCTCATCACAGCTTCAAGGAAACTGAGGCCATACTTTCAGGCCCACTCAATTGAAGTTCTCACCAACTTTTCATTGAAGCAAGTGCCACAGAGAACAGATGTATCAGGACGCCTGCTAAAATGGGTGATTGAGCTTAGCGAGTTCGACATACTGTTCCGACCTCGACATGCCATCAAGGGCCAGACCCTTACAGATTTTGTGGCTAAGTTTGCCAAAACCCTAGAAATGGAGGCGACAATGGAACCAGTTGAGCCCCCAATGTGGAAACTGTTCGTAGATGGATCCTCAGGAGAGGCTGGCTCCGGGACAGGGATTCTCTTGGAAAGCCCCGAAGGCCACAAGCTAAATTGTGCAGTAAGGTTCGACTTCAAAGCCTCGAACAATGTTGCTGAATATGAGACCCTTCTAGCAGGCCTTAGACTGGCGAAGGAAATACAGGTCAAAAGGCTCCTAACAAGCAGTGATTCTCAGCTTGTAGTGAGTCAGGTCAATGGAAACTTCACGGCCAAAGACAGTAATATGGTTGCATACTTGAAATTGGTTCTAGACCTAGTTCTTCATTTTGAAAGGTTCGAGCTTATTCAGGTCCCACGCCTAGAGAATACTCATGCAAACGCCCTGTCAAAATTTGCCAGCAGCAAGGACTCAGAGCTACTAAAGGTTGTCCCCATTGAACACTTATCGAAGCCCTCCATTTCCTGAGTTGAAGAGGTGCTATGGATAGAAGGCACCTCATTATGGATGCAACCCATCATCGCCTATCTTAAGGACCAATCACTACCAGATTCTAGAAGCGAGGCAAGGAAGTTAAGAAGAAGGGCTGCACACTTTGTCCTACAAGAAGACGTCCTCTACAAAAGAGGCTTCGCCTCACCACTTCTCTGATGTGTAGGAGGGGAAGAGGCTATGTATATATTCAGGGAAATCCAAAAGGGAATTTGCTGGAATCACTCCGGAGGAATGGGTTTGGCACACAAAGTACTCCGACAATGCTACTTTTGGCCGACCCTAAAAAGGGATGCTTGCCAATTTGTCCAGAAATGTGACAAGTGCCAGCACTTCTCAAATATTCAAAGGCAACCTTCCCAGAGCCTCTCCGTAGTGACCAGCTCTTGGTCATTCGTCAAATGGGGAATCGACTTCATTGGTCCACTTCCAAAAGGAAGAGGAAGTGCAACTTTTGCTATTTTCGCCATCGACTATTTCACCAAGTGGGTCGAAGCTGAACCTTTTGCCAAGATCACTGAGATGAATACTATAAAATTCATCTGGAAGCACATTATTTTTAGGTTCGACATTCCCCACTCCTTAGTACCTGACAACGGGAGACAGTTTAACAATAAGAAAATGCGAGACTTATGCGACGAACTGGGCATAAAGAAGGATTTCTCAATGCCTCATCACCCACAAGCAAATGGGAAAATTGAGGCAGTAAACAAAACAATCAAACATACCCTGAAAAGGAAGCTTGACACCTCGAAGGGGGCTTGGGTCGATGAGCTTCCCCACGTTCTCTGGGCCATCAGAACAACTAGCCGAACTGCAACAGGGGAGACACCCTTCTCAATGACCTACGGAGCCGAGGCCATGAGGCCGATCGAGGTAGGAGTACCATCGCACCGTCGAATACACTTCAATGAGATCAATAACGACGATGCTCGAATGAGTGAACTCCACTTCCTTGAAGAAAGGAGGGATACCTCCTAGGTGAACTTGGCAAAGTATCATAGAAAGATGACCCACTATTATAACTCCAAGGTCAGAAATCGGACTCTTCGCCTAGGGGACCTCGTCCTTAGGAGGGTCTTCCAATCATCAAAGCCAACTGGGTCCAGAATGTGGGGACTGATCTGGGAGGGTCCTTACCGCATCTGCAGGGAATCCCGACCTGGCACTTTTGAAATTGAAGACATGGCAGGGAAAGCACTGCCTCATCAATGGAACATCGAACACTTGAGGAAGTACTATCAGTGATGAACTTGTGTTTTGATCCGATCTCAATGTTGTCTAATAAATGTGTCATGATCCGATCTCATTTGTAACTTCCCTAACTTACTAAGTGCTGAAAATGCTTTAGTGAAGGGTGATGTAACTTCTCTAAGTAATGATACTTTAGTTCTTTGTCACATCAGTTAGTAAATTGTTACCTCAACTCTTCAATATGTTAATTAGTCCGATCTTCTATTATTAATCGGTTATTGGTAGATGACGCTTTATGTTTACTTAAGTGATTGTCATTCATATACTCAAGTGTAAACGACTCAAGTTGAGGTCTTTTACCAAGCCCTCAAATTGGATACTTGTGCTTAAGGCCCGGGCCACACAAGCACTGTTAGCCGCAACCAAGTCCTCGGTAGTACAGGCGGAGGTGTGGTCTCTCTATTTTTCGGTCCAATACCTATTGTGGACCACCGCCACCGCAATCATCTCTGGAGGAAGAGCCTCCAGCACTTCTTTTACCGATTCTTCTGAATTGGTGCCCAAGAAGTCTACCTTTTTCGAGGGACGAGCCCTTTTCTTCTTTAGTTGCCCCAGCACTTGGGTAATGGGCACAACAGCTACTGGCAATGTGGTCGGGGTAGGAGAAGCCTCTGATGGCGTAGGCGTCTTCTCCGGGATGACCACCCCGGTAGGAATTGTTGTTTGCCTCAGAGCTGGAGGCGGTCTCGCCACAGTTGGGCACTTCGAGGGAGCAGCAGGCTTCTTGCCCTTCCGCAACAGGTTTGCGTCTGGGTCCTCCGCCACCTCCTCCTCGATTGGAGGCTGGAGCCTTTTGCTGGCCACAACCAGATCCTCTATCTGCTTTTTGTACGCAGAGGAGGAAGTCTTTAGGGCTCTTGCCTCTGCCATTATCTTTTAGATGGTTTTGAAGTCTGGCCTTAGAGGCAGCTTCTTGTTTAAGTTATCTGCAAGGGAGCAAGTACTTTAGTACAAGTGTAAATAGTTTGAAAAGTGCTGAAAGATATTCGCTTTGGGAAATTTACCTTGAGAGGCCATCAAGTCGTGCATCACGAAGTGGATGTTTTTTCTGATCAGCTGGTGGTATGATCTCCTCTTTGGAACTCACACCGAGGAAGAGTGCCTTAAAAAACAAACAGAGTAGTTAAGAACCGAACCGAAGAAGAATAAACAAGAAACACAAAGTCACAATACTCACTAAGTGTTGAATACTTTGTAGGGACTGTAAGAGGCACCAGGGGTCCCCCTCCATCGTGTCCCATCTCCTGGCAGCCTAGCACCACTAGCTCTTCCACTCCTTAATGGAGCTCGATAGATCAAGCACGAATGGAGTGTGGGAACCCCATGAGGTCAAGTAGTACCAGTCCCTAGTTTTATCCCCCCAGCTGCTACCTTGGGAATGTAGAGGGTCTGGAATACAGAAAAATGCATCTCTACCCCAAGCGACGCCTCCTTCCACAATATCCAAGTGCCCACCATTTGGCTCCAAGAGTTCGGGTTCAATTGGGTAGGAGCTAAGCCGTATGACCTAAGTACCATATGAAAGAAATGGTGGATTGGGAGCCTAAGGCCAGCTCTCAGGATCGCCTCGCTGATTACCACGCACCCTAGCATAGGGTAGTAGGCCCGTTCATCAGGTTCAGGTAGGATCAGATCTACACTATCTGGGATCCTATATTCAGCCCTAAGTCTTTCCAAGTCGGCACACTTTAGCTTAGAGGGGTAATCCGACGCCCCCTAATGCACAGGTATGTCCACTAGGTATCTGGTCTATTCCATATGTTCTCCCCCCAATAATCGCTTCAGCTATATCAGAAGAGGTCGCCAAAATGGGCTCGTCCATCCTTACTAGTTCCAACCCCCTTCCCGAGCTACCACTACCTTTAGAAACCATTTTCAGAAATGAAAAGTTTCAAATAGTTACTAAAACTTTCGAAATGGAGTGTCCTGTAGCCAAAAATGGTCAAAAAACAACGTAAGTCGCTGAAAATTGGGATTTCTCACCGGAAAGTGCTTGAAGTACGCCGAAAAATGTAAGGATTTTGAGAGCAAATGAGGTTTTTGATTTCACAAAATGAAAAGCTCCAAAAACGCTCAAGTCCGCCTTTTATAGAGCGTCCCAACTGATCTCCACCGTTGAATTCAAATGCAATCAATTTAGGCTTTCCGTCGCATCATCAATCTAGGTCGTTGAAATGAAACGCCAAATTTGATCTACGCCTAAGATCTAGCTGTGAACTTCACGTTCACGCGAAATGCATTGCCTCGATTACCATTAGTCATCTACAATAAGTAGCCGTAGCAGCCTTTTCTAGGAATGGCCATCTTACCTAGCTATCGCCTTGAAAATACGCAAAAGTTGTCAAATCATTTAACGTCAGAGATGGCCACCTCAAATCGAGCTCTTCACTCAACTTTACAAAGCTTTGACGTACTTGACGCGGAGTCCCCTGTGGGTCATGCCTTGGTAGCTATGTTCCCTCCTAGGTTTTATAAAGCTTTAGCTATCTCCCAACGCGTCGTCTCCTGTAGGTCAGCGCACCGGTGACAGATGAGCTTCTCACTCAACTTTACAAAGCTTAGACACATCTAACGCGGAGTCCCATGTGGGTCATCGCCTCGGTAGCTGTGTTTTCTCCTAAGTTTTACAAAGCTTTAGCCATCTCCCAACGTGTCGTCCCCTGTAGGTCAGCGCACCAATGGCAGATGAGCTCCTCACTCAGCTTTACAAAGCTTAGATGCACCCGATGTGGAGTCCCCTGTGGGTCATTGCCTCGGTAGCTGTGTTCCCTCCTAAACTTTATAAAGCTTTAGCCATCTCCCAACGTGTTATCCCCTATGGGTCAGCGCACCAATGGTAGATGAGTTCCTCACTCAGCTTTACAAAGCTTAGACGCATCTGATGCGGAGTCCCCTGTGGGTCATTGCCTCGATAGTTGCATTTTCTCCTAAACTTTACAAAACTTCAGCAGTCTCCCAACGCATCATCCAGTTGGCAGCACATCGATCTCGGATAAGTCCTTTCCTTACGCAATAATGAATTTTTAGCGAGTCTACCTAAGGTCAATGCTTTGGTGAACATAGAAAACCGACCCACAAGTTCTCACAAATCACGGTCCTTATCCCGAGGCAGGCATACCCGATCGGAAAAACAAGTCCACCCATGATATAAATATTCATACCTGAACTTGGGGGGACCACTGTTACACCCATATTTGAACCACTTCGGAAAGTCTACCATCGCGTTATACGAGGTGTTCAACACCCATCCGAAGTGGTTCCGAAGTGACGCCACTACCAATGTTGTCAATTTGCTAACGCATTGCGAGGCATAGACAATCTGATAAACCGATCAAAGCGTCCTCGCCCGTGAAGCTGAGGTGCAATACATTCCGACGTTCTCTGTAAGAGGATCCGCCGTCAATTTCAGAAAAAGATCTATGTCAAGATCCTTTCTGCCCCCAAAATTTAATTGATTTGACGTCTCCATGAGCCTAGTTGATGTGACGTATCAACTTTATGTCAACTCAACTCGGGAAAAGTAATTACCTACCCACTCTATTGACATGGCTGATTGACGCCTATGAGTAGACGCCTCACACCATCAGATGCATACACGTGTCTCACATCCAACGGTTCTCCTTACCTATAAATACCCAATGTTTGACAAGAGGCAAAGGTAATGAAACTCTTACAACATAGCTTTCCATAACAAGCAAATATATATTCTCCTCCCCACTATTTTGCACAACCTTGGTATTGTTCCAATCACCTGAGGTAAACTTGACCGTCGGAGTGTATGTGGTCGTCACCATCCCTGCTGGTTCCAGTCGTGTGCATCTGACCGTGCGTTGACTGTGCGTAGGGAAGAATACGTGGAGTAGCTATAGATTGACCACGTGGAGGGTCCAATTTGCGAGGTCAACAGTAGTGATGGGCACAAACGGTGAAGAGGTGGTGATTGTGCATGTGGGATGGAGTGGTGATGGTGCAATTGGTCACATAGTCATTTGCTCTGGTCACATAAGCCAATTCATAGGTCACATATGTTATTAGTCACAAGTCACAATTCATACGTTACATGTCACAATTCGTCGTTGAGGTCACAATTCACTGATCACATGTTTGAGTTCACAAGTTACAGTCATTTTATGTAGGTCACAAATTAATATAAATGGGTTATATGTTGTTTTGTAGAAGTTGCGGATCAAATTTACAGATCATATTTTATGTTACGAGTCACAGGTGACAATTCATAGTTTACAAGTCATCTTTCATATGTCACAATATGCACAGGTTACAAATCCAATAAAACTAATCACAGATCATTGGTTAAAAAGAAAAAGATTAGATCTTCGGAGCTGATGGACATCTTTGATGGAGAGATGGAGGGAATGTGGAGTAGTCGGGTGAGGTGGCATTGGATGAAAATTATTAATGTATAATATATTATAATTTAATATTTAATAAATTCATTTACTACTTGATTTTTGAAATATTTTAGTGAGTTAATTATTTATGAAATCTAATCTTTAGAACTATAACTTAGTATAAATTATTCTACTTGTACAAAGAAGGTTTACAAAAGTGCTTGACAAATACACGTGTATGGTATGGATGTAAGGCCACTGGACGGTGCTGATGAAAAAATCAGAAAGTGGGCCCTACAATTGTCATCAATATTTATAAATGAATGAACTGACAATTCTTTCAAAAACAATTTGAAACCTAACTCGTTTCTCTCACTT